TCGAGTGCACGGAGTGTGGCTACAAGTTCACCCGGCAGGTAGGCCTGGAGCCAGAGGCCCCACTCCTACCCCCTTGGGCCCCGCACCTCTCCCGGGCCAGCCCTGAGTCCTCTTGCCCCCGCCCCAGGCCCACCTCCGGAGGCACATGGAGATCCACGACCGGGTGGAGAACTACAATCCGCGGCAGCGCAAGCTCCGGAACCTGGTCATTGAGGACGAGAAGATGGTGGTGGTGGCACTGCAGCCCCCCGCCGAGCTGGAGGTGGGCTCGGCTGAGGTCATCGTGGCGTCCCTGGCCCAGGGCGGCCTGGCCTCCCAGCTCCCTGGCCAGAGACTCTGTGCGGAGGAGAGCTTGGTGAGCCCGAGTGTCATGGAGCCCTCGCTCATCATCACGGCGGCCATCCCCGAGGACTGTGACACATAGCCGCCCTGCCGTCACTGCCCGCTTGGCCCCAGCCCCCAATAAACCACACGGCTTTGGACTTCAGCGTTTCAGCCTGTCTGGCCGTCGTTCCCCAGTCACCTAGTTTCCACGGCTGTGCCGCTTTCCCACAGAGTCTAGAAGAAACGGTACCTTGCCCAGCCATCTCTGTACCTCGGGCTGCTGCTCAGCCAGCAGCTTCCCCACCTTGTCGGGAGACCTCAGCAGAGCGAGACACTTGGGTGCTTTCCTCTGCGCTTGTCTCTGTCTCCTTCTAGAACTGGGCGTGGGGCGTTGCTGTTTCTCAGCCGTGGTGCTGCCACCTGGTGGGGGTAGAATTCATTACCAGAGCTCTGGAGTCTCGGCCCCTGAGGACCTTGCTGGTGTGCAGCAGATCCCACTGGGGAGCCTGAGGATGGGGCTCTGGTTTGCAGGCCCTGGACCCTGGCTGGCGGAGGACCACAGACCAGATCCTTCCCTTGGGAGGGTCCTAACTTGCTTTGCTTGTCGAGGGGTCCTGGAGTTCAGGCAAGGCCACGTCTAGAATGACAGGAGGCCCTGCTGGTCCCCGGGTTCACCAGCCACAGGGACAGCAGGGCTGGGTGCCAGATCACAGAGGAAGACTGCGGGGGTGCTCAGCGTTATTAATAGCACTGTGACCTGACGCAAACGATTGCTTCATTTCCTCATCTTTAGTGGAATTAGGACCAGCCCAACCCTCTGTGCCAGGATGGTTGCAGTCATCTGCAGCTGGGTGGCAGACCGCCCCGGGACTTCCCTCGAGGCTGGAGGGCGGGGGTCTGTGCCTGGCAGGAGGGTGCTGGGTGTGAGCCTGGGCCCCTCTCCACAGGTTTCCTCCCAGCACAGTGGCTGGCCGCCAAGGATAAGTGTTCTACAGGCCAAAATTGTGAGGCCTTCTCATGACGTAGCCCTCCAGTCACGTAGTGTCACCTTTGCCAAGCTGTGTTGGGCCAGATCGTCACCAGAACATCACTCCCCAGATTCAGGGGGAGGGGATGGGTGTTAAGGACTGCACACAACCGTTCACAACCACCCCACCCGGAGCACAGGGCCCTGCTCAGTACTTGGCACGGAGCAGATTTCTGAATGGGGTGCTGACGGTCATGACCGAGATCTTAAGTCAGGGACTACCTAAATCCTGTCACTGGGACTTCCCCGAAACACCAGCCCCATGCTCTGCTAAATTCCTCCTGGAGTTTGAGGAGGACAATCTGTTTTAGACCCAGAACCAATCTAAGCTGCTTTGTTTTTATTTCTTGACCACGGGGGCACTCAGAGGTAAAGACCATATTCCGGGATTCAGGGACAACCACGGATGCCCAGGCTATGCACGGTCCCAAGGGCACTTCAGTGCAGTTGTTACAGAGGTGACGAACTATGGCCTCAAGATGCTTCCTTCCCTTGCTCAGGCCTTGGTCCTTCCCTTGGAGTCTACATGAGGAGGCTTTCTGGGCTTCATGGCCCAAGGGACCCATGGCTTCTCCCCCTAGCCCGGGTCCAACATTCGCCCACTGCAGATGGGGTCTCAGACCCTACCTTCAGGAGTGGGGGAAAGCAAGATGGGGGGCAGAGTGCCAAGAGGGGGAGTCGGGGAGGCCAAACCAGCTCTGGAGTGGCGAGTGAGGGCAGGACTTGGGCACCTGCATGCTGCTCGTCTGGGGCTCAGCCTCCTCTTCCCGCCGCTTCCCACCTTGTACTGATCAGAGACAAGGAAGGGCCTCAAAGCTTTGCTCCAAGACTTTTAGGAGCCCTGGGCACTCCCAACCTCTGTCCCCTCCCCCATCTGGCACGGCGACAGCCCTACACTGCTCTGCCTCTGCCCAAAGTTTCCAAGACCTCAGCAGCAGGATAAAGACCATGACACCGAGTGTATAGGAAATAGTTTTATTTCAAAAAAGTATATACTGAAGGCATCCTACTATCTTAAATAGGATCCCGGACAGCCAGGCCTATTGAACAAATAAATAGGCAAATCTGCCCCATGCCCTGAGGCTGGAACTAGATGTTGGACACCGAATGGGGTGTGTCCTTTAGTACGTAGGTCTCTGAAATCATATAAATATACTTTATAGTAAGTCAGCATTAAATACCAGTCACTGAATTTTCATAACTTAATTTGTCTCATAGACTGAAAGTTCTGTGCATCCAACACAGACGGTTCCACCCCGAGTCGACCCATCTCTGACCCCAGCCAGTGTGCAGACATCTCTAAGTGCCACCGGGAGCAGGGAGGGTGAGGGAGGGCCGGCCGACCCTGGACCCCCCCGCTGGGGTCTGCTGGAACCTGCGCTGCCGGGGCCGCCGCCTCCCCTTCCCACCCTGGTGTCCCAAACCGAAGATGGGGTCCGGGTGGAGGGGACCTGCGGATTCCGGCACAAGCGCAGAGCCTGTCACTGGTGCACACCACGCCAGCCACCATCTGAGTGGCCTCTGGACACGGGTGGTCAGTCACGTGGTAGCTCGTCACAGAAAAGTACCAAAAAGAGAGGAGTAGGAACAGGGACGGGCCCCCACCAGGAGAGAGCCTCTGCGGCGGAGGCCGCACAGAGGCCTGAGTGGGCACCAGCCCTCATTGTGCCTCTTGTGCGGTCAACAAAGGCTGGTTTTGTATGGAAAACAAGGCGTGTGCAGTGCCCCCGTCCCAACAGAAAAGCGTTACAGGACACCTCTCCCTGTAAGTTGCTGACCCCGGGAAATCGTTGACCTTGACAGAGCCCAGTTCCGCTGGAGGGAGGCCGGGACAGTTCCAGCAACCACAGCACATGTCCACGCTGGACTGCCCACCCTGCCTTCGCAGAGCGCGCCATGAGGACCAGGCCTGCATTCTTCCTCTGGGAGGGTGTCCTGCAGACGCGCATCTACCTGCGTGACACGTCCGCACACCGAGGGCGCAGGCCACAGGGGCTGGCACAGAGCTCCGCCAGTGCTGGGCAGCGCAGCCCTGCCCTCCCCCTGCCAGGGGACGAGCCATCCTGCCTGGGCAGCCTCTGCCCACACTGGAACCAAGGACAGACGCTTCACAGAGCACGGATGACCTCCAAGGGGTTGGCTTGCTGGGAAGGCACCGGAGCCAGAGGAGAGTCATCCCCAGCCCGGGCAGCGCGGAGCCAGACCACCCCTGGGGTTGGCGGGGGGCGGGGGGAGGACAACATTCCTACCAGGAGGAGTGAAGGCGACACCTGGGGCGTGAAGAAGCCCGTGCCCGAGGGATCCCACAGCCAGGCCTGCCCGGCACAAGGGAATCCCAAGAAGGCCCACAACCCCGCCTTCCGGGCACAGTGGGTGTGCGGAGGTGACAAGGCAGGGCACGACTGAGGGGCTGGCCGCGAGCTGGAGCCGCTCCAGCCCGGGGTCCCGGCGCAGGTCTGATAGCGAGGACTCCCCACCAGGGCACGATGCGGGGGACCCCAGCCTAAAGCTCTTGAGGCCATGGGGCTTCCTCCCCAGAAGCACCCATGCCCTGTGGCCAATGAAAGTGTTTCAGTGCCACTTAGGAAGGGACAGTGCCAGTACGAACGCATTTCCAACTCCGTTCACTAGGAACGGCAACTCAACAAACACTTGCTTTCCATGTTTCTAAGGAGGGAGATGCAAATATCCTCCTCTTCGGAAGCAAGACAAATCCAACTGAAGGTTACTTGGGGACCTTTAGAGAAGACCAGTCACTCCCAAGAGGAAAACGGGCCGCTGAGCTGTGGAGCTTCCCAGAGCTCCCCCGCCACTCTCCTGGAGAAGCCCCAGGCTTTGGAGGAGCGGGGAGCATCACCCCGCCCTGCAGAAGCGGCTCCAGAAGAGTCAATCCAGACTGTTTCTTGCTGCCTCCCTCCCCAGCTCCACCCCCTTCTTCCAGGAAGGGCCACACTGTGTTTCAAAACTTGCAGCCAACCATGACAGCTGCCCTGCCCAGGGTCTCCTCTGGAAGCAGCAGGCTTCTCTGCTCCCATGGGAGGGCGAGGGCACCTGCAGACATCTGCCCGGCTGCGCCGCCCAGTAAGAGGCTACAACCTGACATCTGTGGGCTTTTGCCCTCTCCCGCACACATCTAGGAAGACGGTCCTGGAGGTCTCCAAGTCCGGTGAAACACACCACCTGGAGGGGTGGGCGGACGGGGACACTCAGCGTTGGCCTCAGCCCAGGTTCACTGGCACATCCCTCAAGGGCCCCCTCTTCAAGGCCGCCCTCCTATCCGGTCCCACTGGCCTACGGGCACTGGGATCACACACCCCTGTAAGGAGTGTTCTGCTGTGACGCCCCCGAGGGGGGATGGAGCCAGGCAGGCAGAGGCCCTCTGTCTGGGGAGCTGGCCCCCTGCGATATCTGGCACTGGACACGGTGTCTAGGACCCCACTGCGGCCATCGCCAGCCTGGTTCCCAATGCTCCAGGTCAGCGGAGGCTGCGGGCCTGGGAGGACAGGCCTGGACCGCTCCCAGACTCTCAGGGGAGGACTTGTACCCCACAGGTGGCCCTCCTCTCTGAGCGGGGAGCAAGGAGGTGGGGGCAGCGGCAGCAGGAGTCGTCCCCTGCTGCAGCCAGAGACCTTTGCCCGCAGGTGGCTGCTCTTCCTGGACCCAGGGAGGGGCGTCGGCCACTGGTCGTGGTCGCAGCTGCGTATCAGGCTCTCTGAGCACAGGAAGTCTCCGGGGTCAGACCCTCAGGCTCACTCCACAGCCCGAGCCCAGGCTGCACCCGCTGAACCCACCCCGTCCTGGTGCGCGGAGGTGGGGGCTCACCGCCCCCCGCCGCAGCCGTGTCGCAGTACCTGTGCCGAGGCCCTCCCCGGGCCGGGCCAGGGCTAGTGCAGCTCGTCGGGGCTCTGCGGCAGCCGGGGCCGCACCACATCTGCGTCACTGCTGCCGCTGTCCAGCTCAAAGCCACGGCCACCCGGGGGCACCTGGGGCATGAACTGGCGGAAGATGCTGACGCTGCCGTGCCAGAACGTGGGCTCCGGGAGCCGCCCCACGACGCTCCAGGCCCGGGTCTCTGGGTCATAGGCCTCCACCACGTCCGAGAGTTCAAACGTATTGTCGTAACCGCCTGAGACGTAGAGCTTCCCTCCAAGGACAGCCAGGCTGCCCCCGACGTGCACCTGTGGGCCCAGGGAACGGGCAAGTGGCGGCTGGCAGCCAGGGCAGGGCGGAAACCACCAGCCTCTGTCCATGGAGAAGGTGCCCGGGACCCACGGGCAAGGTGGCCTCTGCACCCTTCCCAGGATGGACCAGCATCCTTCCTACAGCCCAGCTCAGGAAACAGGCCCCATGGGGATCCCAGGCCACGCCTGGTCCCTGTGATGCTGGGAGGTCGCCAAAGCAGCCTCTGCTTGAGGCAGGCTCAGCCCCATCACACAGGTGGGAAAATGGCCCTTTATGGCTGATGGAGGCAGAGCCAGGACTGGACTCAAAGTCTGGGCTCTGAACCACGAAACTGGACGGGCGCACCTTTCCCAAACCTGCCATTAATAATGGGTAGGTCATTACAGGGCAAGACAAAGTTGCATTTCCTAAACGTAAAGTTGTTAACTGGAATGTTGTGAATTGCGACAATTGTCACAACTGCCATGCAGAGGTAGCATGGGAACGGATTTGGAAATTTTAAGGAAGACAAAAAGACGGGGGTGGGTATATACAACTGTCAGGGACTACGGAAACTGCCCACATGGCCAAATGCCGCCACGCTTCCCCAGCTCCGTCACAGGGTCGGGCTCAGCACCCCTCTTCCTGACTTCCCAGGGTCACTCCTGTCTGACCTCATGCCCTCTGCTATCCCCTTGTTCACTCTGTTCCAGCCACACTGGGCTGTGAGGCTTCTTCTAAGACCACACTAGGCACACCCAGCCCCAGGGCCTTTGCACTTGCTGTCCCTCTGTGGAATGTTCCTCCCCATATACTCTCTGACTTACAGCAGGCATCCAGTAAATACGGTTCTGCGCAGATGAACTTGCTAAACTGTCTGACCCTGGGATTTATTTAAGGTCTCAGTGCCACACAGTATGAACTGAGGGAAAAACCTGTCCTCTATTACGTGAGAGAACGCTGTGAAAAAGGCCTCAACACAGTCCCTGGCCCCCCCAGGCCTATTTCCCAAACACACCATGGCAACGCGTTAGCCAGAAAACAGGACCAGCCTGTGCTTCCAAGGCCAACCTGTTTGTATATTTACCTGATTCATAGATGGGATCTTGTCCCATTCGTTCTTCGTGGGGTTATACACGTCCACCTCCGCAGAATCGTCCCTGTGGGTGGGAGGAGAGGAGGGAATGTGTCGGAGCCAGGAGGAAGCATCCTTGGGTGTGAGAAGCTGGAGAGGATGGCCACATAGGCCCCGCTCCTGTGGGAACTTCTTTGATGCCATCTGGCAGTCCAGAGGCCGGTGGGACCTTAGCCCTTGTTTGCAGGGTCCAAGTTCAGGCCCATACCAGCTGGCCTGGGTTCTGAGCTCAGAACCAGACTCTGCTTCTCAAACCTGAAGATCTCACCTTCTGGTGCCTAACCCTCCCCACTGCTCTACACCAATGTGGCCTCCCTGCCCTCACGGCCGCCCCCTGGCTGGCTTCAGATATGAACTCATCACAATTCTTCCCACCTGTCTCCTCTCGGTCTTCCAATCTGGGCTCGTCCTCCCTCCTATGGAGGACTGGGCCAGGCCATCCTCTGCCTCACTGCCCATCGCCATGCATCCCGACTACTCCTAGGCCACGGCGCTCCCCTCCGCTGTCAGCCTCCCAGCCTCCTCCTGTTCCCTGCTGTGTCCTGGATGCCCGGCAGGACAGCCACAGCCACAGGAGAGAAGTACCTGCGCTGCCCTTCCCTTTGGGGTCAGGATCCTGCAACCTTGACATATCCTTATCCCCGCCAAAAAAGGCTCAAAGGCCCAGCCTCGAAAAGCAGAGACACTAACCCCCAAAGGGCAGTGACAGTAACAAGTCAGGGCTCAGCAGAAGGGCGAGTCCGCGCACAGGTTAGGCCTCGGGGAGCGGACTGCAGCCACTCCTCCCGCTGCCTGCCGCCATAAGCACAGAGCAGCCACTAGGGCTGGACGTACTCCAAAAAAACCTTACTTATGGACACAGAAATTTGTATTTCGCGCAACTTTCTTTTTTTAATTTATTTATTTGACAGACAGAAATCACAAGGAGGCAGAGAGAGGAGGAAGCAGGCTCCCCGCTGAGCAGAGAGCCCTATGCGGGGCTCGATCCCAGGACCCTGGGACCATGACCCGAGCCGAAGGCAGAGGCTTCAACCCACTGAGCCACCCAGGTGCCCCATCGCGCAACTTTTCTTTTTTAAAAGATTCCATTTATTTACTTATTTGACACAGAGAGACAGAGCACAAGCAGGCAGAGAGGGAGAAGCAGGCTCCCCACCGAGCAGGGAGCCGGACGCAGGGCTCAATCCCAGGACACCGGGATCATGACCTGGGCCGAAGGCAGACGCTTAACTGAGCCACCCTGGCGCCCTACGTGCAACTTTTCACGTCATAAAATAACGCTTCTGCTTTGAGTTTTTTCCTCCAACCATCTCAAGATATAAAAACCGTTCCTAGTTTGTAGTCCCCATGATGAGGACAATTAGCAGCAGAAGCTGCCGCTCCCAGCTCCTCCTCCTGCGGGGAAGTGGGCATCCCGGGCAAGGAGCCTCACCCAGGGACCGAGGCAGGGCACTGGAGAAGGGAGTGGCCCAGGACGGCAGCTGGCAAGGAGCTGAGGCCCCTGCCCAGTGCTGGGTACCCCTGAAAGAGTGGCCTGGGGACGGAAGCCGCCCGGACAGGGGGCATTCTGAGCAGGGCGTTACGTGGCTAATTAGGCTGAGGGGTTCATGAACTCAGTGGCTCTGGGACAAACACTGCAGTGCATCAGAATGAGACCTGGGCTGGGGCGCCCAGGTGGCTCAGTTGTTAGGCATCTGTCTTCGGCTCAGGTCATGATCCCGGGGTCCTGGGATTGAGCTCCGCATCGGGCTCCCTGCTCGGCAGGAAGCCTGCTTCTCCCTCTCCCTCTGCCCCTGCTTGTGTTCCCTCTCTTGCTGTCTCTCTGTCAAATTGGTAAATAAATCTTAAAAAACAACGAGACCAGGCCTTTGCCCACACTGTGCCCCTGGAAGACAATCGGGCCACTCACTCTCTCCACCTGCTCCGGGGGAGGGATTGGGGCAGAGCTGAGCCCCCCATCTCCAGGCTGTAATGGCTTAGGTGAACACATAAAAAGGAGAATGAACAGTGGGCATGGAGGGCACCCTAATGCTTTCATGGGGGGGGATGTTAGTAACTGACAGAGGCTCGGAGGTGAAGGAGGAAGGCGCAGGGGACCTCGGTGGGCTGACTGGCCCTCGCGCCCGTCTTACTCTCCATCACAGGGCAGGGAGGACACTCTAAAGGCGCCCCAGCTGGAACTGCTACTGAAGGGCTGAAGCCAAGGTCCTGGCGCTCTGAGAAGTATTTATAGCTGCCCCACCCCCTCTCTGAAGACATCTACCTTGACTTGGGGGAGGGAGAGCTGGGGGAAGGGTCAGAGGATGTTTTATAACGGGATAGAAGCTGGCAGAGATCCCGGGGCGTTCTTGCAGCGCACACAAGGATGCGTGGCAAGCGGGGCCATCTCTCTTCTGGATGTGCCCACCAAGAAAGCCTGGGAAGGGAGCCAGGGGTCTGGGGGAGCAGAGCGGAGGGGCAGAAAAGGCCAGTGCAACGTAGAACGCGAGACAAGGCTTACAGCTGAGGCTAACATACTTCCTCGGAGGCTCCCAAGTCAAAGCCCCTGGGGAGAAGGCGATGGAGGAAACCGCAAGTCAGACCTTACCCTTCCCTCCTGGTCCCAAAGCTTCCAGACAGGCTCTGGGCCAAGAAGGGAGGAGCAGGGACGCACACCTGTAAGTTCTCTCTCTCCCTCTCACACACACACACGCGCTGTGCGTAGCAGGCAGGAGCCCCGGGATGCCCAATGGCCCACGAGGAGAGGGCATTTGGCTGTGGCAGGTCATCCAGACCCCTGGCCGCCCATCTCTGCCCCACACTGGCAAGGACACAGCCTGGCCCTGGGAAACCATGATACAGTGACATCACACTAGGACCGGGGTTGGGTATCCTTGGTTCAGACCCGGTGCCATCCCGTCGGCCTCCGCTGCTGCCCGTGAAGCGGGAATGACCAGCGATGCCCATCGCCTCGGACAGTCACAGATCAACTCGGAGATGGGCCACGCACAGCTCAGGGCCCTCACAAGTGCTATCGTCACTGTCCCTGTGCCCCCCAGGTAGATCTGGGCCCTGCTCCAACCCGGGTCCCTCCCCGTGGAACCCTGAGAGAAGAGCATCGGCTCCACAGAACCGTGAGGCCCCCTGTGCCAGGTCAGGAGAGAACCTGCACACACGCACCGAAGGCCCAAGTGTTGCTGTAAGTCGAGGGGTGGAGCGGAGCCCCCACTGGGCTCTCGGACCTGGCAGCCGGGCACGACACTCTGCTCGGTGAGCACGGGGTCCCTCTGACAAGGCAGCACCTCCCCACTCAAGTGAGCTCTCCCTTAAGACTTTTTAAGATTCAAAATCCCCCTTAGGTAGGACAGGTTTCTTTGTAATAAACGGTTCCTGGGAACCACCAGGGCCGAGACCAGGATCCTCCAAGTGGAAGAGAAGGCAAAGCAACACACTGTATTTAGCTTCCGGGAATCTCAGAAAGTTCTCTCAAAGGACCTGACACTAATCAACCAACCAATCAGTCAATCAAGAGATCTAACTCCATCAGTTTGGATCCCCGGACTCAGAACACCCAGAAGCCCACAGAAACTGTTCAAAGAAATGGGGCAGAACAAAGGCTCCAGGTTTAGAAAGGTCTAGCCCGGGATCCCAGCTCCAGCTGCTTCCCCATCTAGGAGATGAGGAGCACGGGGAGGAGGGGACTCAGCACGGGGCCTGGGGAGGAAGATGGGAAGAGGTCGGCCGCCGGGGACTCACCTGATGAAGTACATGAGTCCGTTCAGAGTCACGGTCTTGGGGGCAAAGGACCAGGGCGGGAGCTGGCCACAGTCCACCAGCGACCACAGGTCCGTGTCCGGGTGGTAACACTGCATCACCATGGTCTCCTTGCCGGCCAGGGAGCCGATGGCATAGAGGCGGCCACGGCACGCGGTGGTGGAGCAATTGTCCATGGGGTAGGTCATGGGCTGCAGGGCCTCCCAGGAGTCCGTGGTGTGGTCGTAGCGCTCCGTGCTGTCCGCGGCCACCACGTACAACAGCCCATCCAGCACGGACGAACTGTGGTACTCGCGGGCCTTCAGCATGGGCGCCACCTCCGTCCACTCGTTCACGCTGGAGTTGTACCTCCACACGCAGTCGTAGAGCCGGGAGCCATCAGACCCACCTGCAAGGACGTGCAGGGGATAGGTCAGCCCCTGCCGACATGGGGTGAGTCACCCGCCCCTGCCTCTGCGAACTTCCCCCGAGGGACTCTCCCAGGGGAGGAAGTAACTTTGTTGGGTTTCAATGTAAACACCCTTCCTCTCCCCGCAAAGCCATGGCTGGGGGCTGGCTTCATGCGGGGGTAAAGGCTGTGCACCTGCTGACCACAGCCCAGGAGGGCAAGAGAGCCTCAGGCCGTAAGGACACCGCTCCATCTGTGTGGGTCAAGCAAAGGCCCTGTAGCCGGAATTCTAAGTAAACAGAAACCTCGGTCTAGACACCCCCCATACACTGTCGGACACCTCAACCGAAACAGGGCATCCGTCTCAGGGCCAAAACTTCTGGGGAGCCTCAAAGCAGAAGGGTAGGGAGCACAGGGACTGGTTCAAGGAATTCTTGCCTTCCTGGGCAGCCCCCCGCCCCAAACAAGCCAGTGCCAGGACGAGTGGAACTCGGGGGCTCTGGTTCTTGACCGGGTGCAGGTTACCTACACATGCTCCGTCTGGGTACACGCATCAAGGCCCACAAGTACAACGCCCACTCCCTCCACGTTTCTTTCAGAAAAGAGCTAACCCCTCGCGCCACCCTCCAGCGCCACTAGTGGGGCTGGCTATAATCATCAACTAAACCAGGCCTACCCGGCACATTAGAATTTCCACAGTGTGAAGGGACCCCAAGCACTCTGGGGGCCACATCCCCTCCTGTCTACAAAGCTGGCGCCACAGGGCAGAGGACGCAGGACATTCTATCCGTCTCATAGCCCTGAGCTTTTTAAAAGACAAAGCTCTTACGAAGTGCACTCCGCCTACTTTCTTCCTTGTAAAGGATAATTGTCTGGGGCAGCTGAAGCCGGCTTTGTCGCCCCCGTGAAATTCCCTACAGGCAGCTGTATGGAATGACCCAGCCACCTGTCTAAACCCAAAGGATTATCTGCTCGGCTGAGACATTTATGGAAGGGGTGTGCGAAGTTGAGCGAGCCTAACTAGTTCTGGGAGGGAGTTCACCGGCCAGACTTTCATGGGCTGGGAGAGCGGAGCTCCCAAACACAGGGCCGATCTCAGGTCGGAAAGAGACCGATTCCAGCATATTCCAGAAAAGGCTAAAACTCAGCAGCAGGCCAGGGAAGAGCTGAGCGTGTCCTCAAGCCGGGATTCCTCCACTTGTCAACCGTAGGTGGGGGGCACCAGAGTTCAGAGCTGGCTTTTTCCTGAATGTGCCGGGCTGGGCACAGCAGCGCTGATGGCCGGGGCCGGCCTCAGTTCACTGACTGATAACAGGCTTCCGCGGAGCAGGGTTCTTTCCTTATATAGCTGTCACAGACACCGCCCCTCCTCACCCCAGGGAAGGAGGTAGCCCCTTGTCTGAACTGGGATTTCTCTTTAGTGAAAAATGTGGGAGATGCCCAGGACCCGAGCAGGCTGGGACCCGCCCAGCATGACTCGGCAGTGTTTTGGGGTTTGGGCCAAGTAACTGGAAGAAAACCTCTTAGCATGTGACCATGTTTACAGTCGCTGGGCAGGGAGCAGCCTAAACACCATGTGACCCCCAGCGCACAGCCTAGGTGCAAGCCCGAGGGAACCCTGTCACTGGTGACAGGATGAGTGCGTCAGGGGGGCCATGTGGCTCAGCTGGGCGGGAGAAATCCCCAGGACCCGGAACGGATATCTCAGGGAGCGCCAGCCCCTGCCTGTCTCTGGATTCCTTAGGGAGAAGAAAGCACCCATTGTATGGGGTGAATGCCCCTCTATCCGCTAGCCAAATGGGGGTGGGGGCACATCCCCGGCAAGGAGGGGGCTCATCCGTCATCTAGGCCGCCCCCCCACCAACAAAGAGCCCACAAGCAGCTGCTCGTCCCCGCTCACACAACGGTCTTCTAGGTCGAAAGCACCAGCTCTAGAAGTGTACCCACTGGCCTGCGGGGGGCGGGGAGTGGGTAGGGAAGGGGCCGCTCTCACTGCGGGGCGGTCCCGGGATTCACAGGTTCCTCCAGCAGGAAAATGCCCTCCCCCAGGGGCGCAGGAGGCTAACCCGGGGTCCTCCCAGCGGGCCCCCAGTGCCCTCACCCGTCACGTAGATGTCGTTGCCCAGCGCCACGATGCTGTAGCCCCCGCCCAGGTGGTCGGGGAACTCGGCCAGGTAGCGCCACTGGCCCGTCTGCGGGTTGTAGCAGTCGACAGTGACCAACTCGTCGCAGTCCTGGTCGCAGCCGCCCACGAGCACGAGGATCTCGGCGAGGCCGGTGGAGGGGCGCGGGCGCATGCGGGGGCAGGGCCCGCGGTCGTGGCGGTCGTAGCGCGCCGCCTGGAAGTCGCGCGCCTCGCGCAGCAGGCGCAGGCAGGGCGGGCAGCGCGCCACCAGCGGCTCGGCCTCGACGTGAGCCAGCAGGTAGAAGCGGCGCACGAAGGGCAGGCGCACGGCCTCGAGCAGCTGCGGCCAGTGCGCGGCGCGGCGCGGCGGGTCCGCGCGCACCCAGCGCAGCGCCAGCTGGTAGGCGGCCTCCTCCTTGGGGACGCACAGCCCGTCGTCGCGCAGGTAGCGCAGCAGACGCGCCAGCGGCAGGCGCTCCAGCTGCTCCGGGCCCAGCTCGCCCACGTGGCGCAGGATGAAGCGCTGCGCCGCGCTCGCCAGCCCCGCGCAGCTGAAGGCCTCGGCGAAGTCCTGCATGTCCAGGCAGTTGGCCAGGTCGAGCTGCTGCTGCAGGAAGGCGCCGCACGCCTCCTTCACCGCCGGGAACTGCAGCAGGTCGGCAGCTCGCAGCAGCGGCTCGGCGTTGTCGCCGCTCACCGCCACGCGGCCCGTGTAGCTGAAGTCGAGCAGCAGCTGCAGCATGTCGGGCGGCACGCCGTGCAGGCGCACCCGCTCCGCGCGGCTCTCGCGCAGCTGCCCCGCGAACATGGCGCGGAAGTAGGGGCTGGCGGCCGCCAGCACGGCGCGGTGCGCGGGGAAGTCGCGCCCGCCCGCCGCCTCCAGCGTCACGTCCAGGAACTTGCGCTCGGCGCGGAGCTGACTCAGGCCGCGCAGCAGGCTCAGCGCGTGCGCGGGGTCCGAGAAGGGCAGCACGGCCAGAGGTGCCGGCCGCTCCATGGCGCCGTCGCTGGGGGCACTAGGGCGCGCCGCGGCCGGGGCCAGCGGGAGGAACACCGCGCGCGCGGCGCCGCCGCTTTAAGTAGTGCCGGGAAAGGCGCGGCCTCGGGGGGGCGGGCCCTGGGGGGGCGGGGCGTCGCTGACCCCCACCCACTTAACTCCTCCGGGCCCGGCGCCGCCGCCCGCCCCGCGCCCGGGGCTGAGTCACCGCCCGCCCGCCCCGCGTCCGCGCCTTTTCGGGGCTGCTGGCGGGCCCCCGCTCGAGCCGGGCGCGCGGGGTGACTAGAGTCCTCTCTCCGTCCGGGCTTGGGGACTCTAGAGTCCGCCCGCGGCCCACCGGGCCCGGCTGCGGAGCGAAAGCCAGCGGGGGCGAGCTCCACGCCCGGAACCGAGCCACCCCTTTCGCTCCAGACTTCCCCACTGCATCCCGAGCTCCTGGGCGGCTCGCTACAGTGCCCTTTTCTTGTTTTGTTTTGAATTCCACTGGTTCCAAGCGTTGCTGGTTAGCCGTATCGCTGGGCAGATTTCAGAGGACGGGATTTCCATGATTCAGGACCAAAGCTTGAACAAGTATAAGCTTTTTAGAGTTTTTTTCTTGGCGCATTTATAAGTGACACGGGGCCAGCTGCCAGGAATCCGCTCCACTGTGTTCCTGCAGGAGTTTCAAACTTGACTAACTCGGTCATTAACTTTCGTCAGCGCACAAGGCGCAGTTTTACTTGTCGATCCACAGAGACTCGGGCTCCAGAGCTGCCTTGAGAAGGGGCCAGGCCTGCTCAGGCTCGACCCAGGACCTCCTGGCCCCCTCTCCTGGAAATGCGAGGCGGAGGGTTAGGATGCGGTGGCAAGAATTCAGAAGAACCCACTAAGAGGCTGAACAAAAGGCTCAAGGACCAGAAAATTATAATAATACAAGTAATGTAAATAATTCCGGGGAAAACAGTTTTTCCTATTCCGGGAGAGGGGACAGGAGGGGCCCTGGGACAGTGCCTTTAGCTCAAGGTCAGACAGGGGACTGCCTTAAAAACCAGGGGTGTGGGCGTTCAGGAACGTCTGTCACTTGTGAGGGGACTGTGAAGAAAGGAATCTTCCTTATTTTGGTTCCAGGAGACACAGTGCCTGCACTTTCAACGTAGCCATGGTTTTTCTTTAATGTATGCTTTGCCCACTTTAGCCAAGACCCTTATTTCAACTCCAGTCCTTTTTGTTTCTCTGAAGAAACCTGGGTTTTGGTAATTCAATAGCCCCCACCCAGGCCCGCGTGGGCCTTGCAGACATTCCTGGGCGTCACCTCACCCACTCGCCCACATGTGTCCCCGGGTGGGCCAGGCACACGGGGTGGGGGTGGGGGGCTTTGCTGTCATTTCTTGGTCCCAGCTAAGCGGGTGCAACCTTTGGAGAAGACATCTTGTTTTGATTCCGTCTCTGAAATGCAAACTACAGGCTTTCCCTTGTCCTCATGAACCTCATCATCTTGCCATGAGAATGTATCTGGTCCACATTTCGGCATGGGAAGCGCAGGCCTGAGTAAGAAAACATTCAGGTACCCAGGCAGCTGCCTGTTGCCCATAGATGGACTGTTCACACAGCAGCATTCCTGGGCCCAGGAGCCCCGCCAATAGCTTACTTGCACAGGCTTTGTGACAAGAAAGTCTGAGTAGCCAGGAAGTGGGATGTTTGCAGGGAAAAGTACTCCAGTCCCTCTGGGTCAGAGCACGTCCACCTTGCGGAAAGCAAAGCTTTACTAAATCAAAAATGTTTCGGCAGTGAAGAACGGAGTCCAACTATTTCGTGTAACTATTTAAATAAATCAGCTTTACTGTGAAGGCTTGATGAATGATGATGATGCATATGTTTACTGAAATGGAAAGATATTCACGCTGTCCTGTCGAGCAAAAAATCTGATTACCCGCAGTGTGACCCAGTTTGTTGTCTGTGTTCATGCGCCTACAAAACAATTGTGAAGGTAACATATTCTCCAGGTGGTTAGGTTTGTTTTGTACGGGCTTGCCTGTATTTTCTGTTCTGTGTATTAAGGAAATAATAATACAAGTTTAAAATAAAATTAAAGGTTCAGTTTTTGAGAAAAAAAGGTATACTAATATCCAGGACCTAAAAGGGGAGCATTTGAAGGCATGGGTACATATCTAAGTCAACAAAGGAATGCAGTCAGAAAATAAAGAAACAGATTTAGCCCCATCAGCTGTGTTTGGAAATTTGAAGAACCTACTAACCCAGGCATGCTATCTGTTCCTTTTTTCACTCATCAACCTTAAGAGTTCAAGATGGGAATGTGAGAAATTCATTTACTGAAGTAGGACCATGTGATCGATACAGTCGGCAAACTCTTCAAATGTCATTCCACAGGCAGCCATGGTAGAAACACTAGTGTTTGGTAAAAAAGGTGTTAACTCTGTCAACGACCCATGATTTAGGGGGAAATGTTTGTATTTGAAGATTAAACTTCTGGGGAGAGGGTGGCTGGTGGGCTGGGGGTGGTACGGACAAAAAAAAGATTAAACTTTAAACGATAAAAGTTTTAAAAATTTACCTCTTCCACAATCAGGAAAGTGGTCTCTGCCTGAGTAACTTCTTTATAATAATGTAATTTAACATGATTTAACAAATAATGGTACCATTTCATTTTAAACATTTACACTCTGCAGTTTTGATCTTGGAATGCTAATTTTAGGCAGATAGGACAAGAGGGCACGGAGATCATTTTACAAAAGCCACTGTTATCCTTTTCTCCCCCCTCTGAGAACATTTAGGAACACAAACTTCAACACTGATACCATCAAAAAGAGATTGTGGCTCCTTTGCTATGGTACACCCTGATTCTGTTTCTGGAGCACCTAAAGTGTGGCTTGTGATGAACTTACTCTACGTAAAATTTCCCTTAAGGAACGCTACAGTATTCAGTATATTTATTAAGTGCATTATTATATGTAAAGGAGACACTCTAGATCAAAACATTTCAACAGTATCTGGCATAGCGTTAGCTATTAATCTTTATGGTTTACCGGTATGAGCGGTAACACAGCAAATTCATTTGATCTCTGTGCATAAGTTATTTCCCTTGTTTTTTTTTTTCCAAAGATTTTATTTATTTGACAGAGAGAGAGAGATCACAAGTAGGCAGAGAGGCAGGCAGAGAGAGGAGGAAGCATGCTCCCTGCTGAGCAGAGAGCCCGATGTGGGCCTCGATCCCAGGACCCTGGGACCATGATTTGAGCTGAAGGCAGAGGCTTTAACTCACTGAGCCACTGAGCCACCCAGGCGCCCAGTTATTTCCCTTGTTATACAAAGAGTTGACAGTACATGGCTTAAAAATTGTTTAATGACTTAAAACTATTCACACATACATATATACATATACATATATGTATTCATACAGTGGTAAAGCTACTAAAAGTTGAAACAAGACTTGGGAGAATTATTTCTTTTTCCTCTCCTGGGGACGGAAGTGGAAAAGTCAGAAAATTGCTGCTGGCAATGATCCATATAAACTCCATAGTATTAAAGCTGAGCCACCAACAAGCATTTCTGGAAAAAACAAACCTTTGGTTATGTTCATGTCTGCACTCAAGCACTGAGTTATAATGGGAGGCAGAAATCTTTCCTGAATGTTCCCCAAATGAATGTAGTGTGGCCAGTGAGATTTAGAAAGGTGAAGCTATATTTGGTAACCCAATTAAAATAACTACATTCTCAAGTTACTTACTGGGAAACTATGGTATTCTTAGTATTTTAAAACTTGTCACAACCTGTGTGAACGTTGGTTTTTTTCTTCTTTTCCAAAGAACTATAATCATCAGATTTTTTTTTTTTTTTTTAAGCAGAAAACAAGGAATCACAGACTCTGAGAATCTGGCTACTGTGGAGAATGCTCTTGCATTAATCCTTGAATTCCAAATTTGCCCCTTAGAGCCCAGGTGTAGTACAGGACACCTGAGAAATAAACTAGGTAAACCAACTACATTCTCCCACGTGTACATATTATGCTATTGAATCTGGGTCAGTTATTAGTATTCTAGTCCTTCCCTGAGTCTGGGGATAGGTTGGTACATATAATGTCTAGATCTCCTCCAAACGGTTAAATTTCTAAGGGGAATCAATGGAAGGAGGCCAAGAAGGTCCTCCATGAAAATACTGGAGTGGCGGGCAGGGAAACTGAAGCAGACTACATCAGGTAGTACTGGTCACATCTGTGTACTAAGAACTACTGTAAATGAATAACTTATTCGAGAAATATGTATTGTGGGAAGCCTGGGTAGTTCAGGTCATGATCCCAGGGTCCTGGGATGGAGACCCATGTGGGGTTCTCTGCTCAGTGGGGAGCCTGCTTCTCCCCCTACTCTGTCTGTAGCTTCCCTTGCTTGTGCTGTCTCTTTTTCTGTCAAGTAAGTAAATAAAACTAGAAAAAAAAAGAAAACCTATTGAATACCTATCCTGAGCAAGAGTTATCACTGTTACATGACACAACCCAGGTTTGGAATGTTCTTTCCTCAGTGTGACTGAGTGGTTCCATTCAATATAGATCCCCAAATTCTAGGGTTTTGTCATCAAGTCCATTACTTTTTTTTAAAAGATTTTATTTATTTATTTGAGAGAGAGAGAGAAAGAGAGAGAGAGAAATCACAAGTAGGCAGAGAGGCAGGCAGAGAGAGAGTGGGGAAGCAGGATCTCTGCTGAGCAGGGAGCCCGATGTGGGGCTCAATCTCAGGACCTTGAGATCATGACCTGAGCCCAAGGCAGAGCCACCCAGGTGCCCCCATCAAGTCCATTATAATAGTGAACAAATTCTTTATTTCACTTTAATGGGAAGGAGACTTAGTATTTACTATGTGAAAAATTACATCACAGTCAACAATGATAAGTTACAAAAAGTCCCTTATTTGGGGACCCCTGGGTGGCTCAGTGGGTTAAAGCCTCTGCCTTTGGCTCAAGTCATGATCTCAGGGTCCTGGGATGGAGCCCCACATTGGGCTCCCTGCTCATCCGGGGGCCTGCTTCCCCTCCCCTCTCTCTGCCAGCCTCTCTGCCTACTTGTGATCTTTGTCTGTCAAATAAACAAATAAAAATCTTAAAAAAAAAAAAAGTCCCTTATTTGTACTTCACCTCCAATCAATATTCTTTTCAGCATTTACACGTTAAAACTAAGGATCCTTCGTGGTGGCCCTTCTTATTCAGGCAAAACAAGCTGCTCCTGGTAATCAGGCCCTGGACAACGCTGACTGACCTCAGGACATTTGCTCTGGCCACGGCGATCAGGTAACATTCTAAATGCGACTAAATGACCTGAATGTGACCACTCTCTACGAAGCTGTCGGTGACGTTTCCACAGGCCAAGTCCAATGTCGGTCTTCAATCTTACTAACTTTCTAGAGACCCTCAGTTTGTTTCCACATTGGGGAGCCCTCCAATCCCGGAAGGCACTGCTGAAACCACAGTAAACGACCATTTATGGAGAAAGGAACTAGATCAAACTTTTATAAGTTTCAGAAACTGAGGCTCAGAAAAGTACTCCTGAAATAAACCCAGTCCCTTCGCCAGCAGTTTCCTTCGGAATTGTCTTAATCGAAACGGCGAGGGCTTCCCTCCCTCAGGTTCTTCCAATCATCCTTCTGATTTAGCAGGTCCGGGGGTCAGTTTTCTGACTCGAATTTAAAATTTTACGTCCCTCCTCTTCAACGCGGTTCCTTCGTCTTCGGAGCTGCCCAACCTGTACTGAATCACCCGGACTTTTCCTCCCGTCGAACGGTTCTCAGAGGTTCGGCCGCCGGGCCTGCTCCGGGGCTTCCGCAGAGCCGACCACCTCCCACCCGGCGGCCAGTCGTCGGCCTTCGACGCGTGAACTTGGGAACCCCGCAGGCCCAGCGAGTGAACACCGCAAACTCCGTCAAATACCAGTAAAACCAGTCGGTACCAGATCCCTGAACCGCGCCTCCCCTCACCCCGCCGCTGTAACCCCGGGCGGAAAAGGCCGATAATCCAGTGAAAGTAAGAAAACAGGGTGGTCCCAAGATCAGGCAGAGGAGACAGGGGGAAAAGCGAATGTAAGACCAACATCTTCCAAACCCCGATAACCCCGGCACAGTTTTCAGAAACGCCGATCCTCGACACCCCCACGCGGGTCCTACAGACACCGGGAGGTCCTCGGTCCCGCCGTCCCAGGACCCCCGGGCCAGGAGGAGCCGGCCAGAATATCCCGGCCGCGAAAACAAGTTGGCCCCGCCGGGTCCGAGCCCAGGGGGCGGCCGCGACGTCAGCGCCCGTAGCCCCCGCCGCGGCGACCACGGCCCCACAAAGGGGCACGAACCCCCAAGTCCAGAAGGAGACGGCAGCCGCCGCCGCTGCCGCCCTCCTCGACCAAGGCCGTCAGCCCCGCCCCCACCCGCCGCAGCGACCCCCTCCCCTCGCCCCCGCGGAGACCGCGGCGCTACCGCTCGCGCCGCCCCTCCCCCACCGCAGAGCCAGCGCGAGCCTCCGCACCTCCCCCGCTCCGGCAGCCTCTGGTCCCGGAGACACCGCCCCCACAAACCGGGCAGCCGCCGCGGAGCTCTATGGGGGCTGGAGTCCGCGAGGCGGCCTTTGTACGCCTCAGAGGCGGAGTTGGGACTACTACTCCCACAATGCTCCGCGTCTACCCCCGCGCTTTCGGCTTCCCGTCGCCCACAGACTACATTTCCCGACAGCCCTCGCGGCTCTCCCGCCCTCCCTCCCGAGACACGAGCCGAACTGGGCGTCAGGTCGGGGAGCGGGTCGGGTTCCCGCTCGCCGCCGCCGCCGCCGCCCCCCGCAGCGACTCTCCCGCCTCTCCCACCGCGCCGGCCGCAGGAGCTGCATCGCCAACTCTGCTCGGCCGTGGAGCTGCCGGCCCGGGAGCACTGAGCCCCGGACGCAACGCGCCGAACCCCCTCATCATCTCCAGCCGGGGCGACCCCTCCCGGGTCCGCCCTCGCTCTGCGCGGCCGCCGGAGCCCCCAGCCCTGAGCGGCTCGGTGGCCCGGCGCCCGCATCCCGGTCCCCTGCACTCCCGTAGCCGCCGCCCCCCACCCTGAACATGGACTCCGACTCTTGCGCCGCCGCCTTCCACCCAGAGGTGAGTGAGGGCTGCGTCCCGACCGCCCCTGACCACCTCGACTCCAGTCCTGCGCTCCCCACAGCCGGACCCCCGCCGGCCGAGCGCCGCCCTCCCCTCCCCCAGCCTTCCCTCGTCGCCCCCTTGGGCGCCCAACCCCGCCCCCCACTCGGGCCCGCGCCCCGTCCTCCCTGCCGGCCCTCGCCTCGGCGTCCCTATCGCGGGCGTCCGCGTCTTCACGGCGCCCCTTCCCTCGGGCCGCCGCGCCCACCCCTCCCCGGCCTCGCGTAGCCCCGGGACCCGTCTGCGCCCCCGTCCCCTCCCCGCCGGCTTGGCTTACTCCTTCCCCGCCCCCGGGGACTCAGTTCCAGCCGCCGCCGCCTCGCGTTCCCGCTTCTCTTAGGAGCCCCCTCCCCCTTCCCGGAGGAGCTCGCGGTCCTCCTCGGACGGGGACTCCGCTCCGCGCGCCCCCGCCTGCTCCCTTAATCCCCCGGGCCCGGTAGTCCGCGCCCCGCCCCCTGACTCCCGCGCGGCCCCCGCCCCCTTCGGTGCCGGGGGGCCTCGTCCTGCCGGGTCCCCACCCCCGCAAACACCCGAGTCGAGCCCCCCACCCTCTGCTCGCTCTCTACCCCCTCCGAGTCCCCCGTCCCCCGCCCCCCGGCCGCGGGCTCTTTCGCCCCGCCCCGGCTCCCCCTCCTTCCGGGGATCGGCCCTCGGTTCTCCCGGGCGGCCCCTCTGGCGCCCCCGCCCCGGTGCCCTCTCCCTCCGGAGGCCCGCGGGGCCGGGGTGCGGGTCCAGCAGCAGGCGGGTGGGGGAGGCGGCGCCGGGCGCGTTCGCCCGCCGCGCTGCCGCCTCGGCGGTTCGCGGGGCCCACCAGCTCCGGACCCCGAATCCCGCCCGGCTTCCCGCGTCCCCTCCCCCGCGGGATGGGCCCCGTACCTTCCGGGGCCGAGTGTCGGCGGGGGGCGGCTTCCGCGGAGGGCGGGGAGGGGGCCGCACCGCCATCTGCTTTTCCTAAAGGCTGCGAGGCAGGCGGGGCGGGGGCGGCGCAGGTCCCTCCGCCCAGGGCCCGAGGGCGCCGCCGCCTTGCGCTCGGCGTCCAGGCCCCCGACCCACTTGTGCGTGTCCCCCGCCGAAATAAAAGTTCTCCCCGAGAGTTTGAGGGCCGAGGGCTGCGGCCCTCCCACTGCGGCCGGAGCGCGGGCGGTCAGTTCTTCCCGGGGGTGGGGGCAGGGTCTCTCCGGCGCAGGAAATGCCGGGGCCGCTCGGAGGCGGGTGCTCCGCCAACCTGCGCGCCCCCCGGGGTCCGTTTGGCCGCGGGTGGGAGGCGGAGGTGGTCGGCTAGAATCTAGCGGAGAAAATAAGAAGTGGGGCCCTTGGAAGGAGAGCTGCGGACAGTACGCCGGGTGCCCGCCGCTTTCTCTGCCTTCCGTCCTGGGAAGGGGCTGGGCTGGGTCCAGGAACCCACCCCCCAGTTTCCTGTCCCGCGTTCGTCCTTGCGGGGTAGTGGGACCCTGGGCCCTGGAAATGGTAGCTGAGCACGTAAGGATGGGGTTGGGGTGGGTGCTGAAGTGCGTAAAGGAGACCTCGGTAAATACGCTAGTCCAGTAAGCCCGAATAAAGCAGAGTTGTTTTGCTTAGTAGCAAATAAGGGTTCTTTCTCCCAGGGCGGCTCTTCCTCAGAAGAAAAACCCTTCTTGTTGAGGGTGTTTCTAGATTGAATGGAGACAGGACACAAGCCAAACCCTTCGTATTTCATTTTCAGGGTGCAAGTAAACCCAGCCTGAGCATTTCTGGTTTATTTTCTGAATCAGAACATTTGGGTGCTGAGCCCCTGGATGTTGGGTGCTGCTGCGGCAGGGGAGGGAGAAGCAGGAAGTGCTAGGAGGAGGGGGTCCGCCTGCAGCCCTGGCTGGGGAGGGGTCAGGCGTAAGTGAGCTTTGTAGGATCAGGGGCAGTAGACTTCCGAAATCACTTAAAATACTTTGATTTCAGGGGCGCACGGGTGGCTCAGTGGGTTAAGCAGCTGCCTTCAGCTCAGGTCATGATCCAGGGGGTACTGGGATGGAGCTCCTCATTGGGAGCCTGCTTTTCCCTCTCCTTCCACCTGCCCCTCTAACTGGCGCTCTGCCTGCTTGTGCGCTCTCTCTGTGTTGAGTAAATAAACAAGTCTTTAGAAAGATACCTTGGCTACAGCTGCCGCTGGACTTTGTTTTCAAAATGGAAAATCTGTAGCAAAAAAGTAGTTGTTAGAGCTCCTGATAGGCCTGCAGACCATGATAATGTTGGAAAATGCCACGGGAGCACTAAGAAGTAGACTCTTGCTGGTGTTTTTATCTCCTGCACGGTTTCCCAGCATGCTCGGCGGAACATCACAATACCCCTCTTTCAGCCTTCTGAGTGCAGTGTTATTTCTTGACCCAAACCTACCTTATCTTGTTTCTGAGAGTGTTTGTAAATGTAGCGGTGTGTTTTTGAGTCGCTGACAATAAAAGCTCCATTTGGCTTAGTTTTGTTTCTGGATTCCACCTGCAAGTGCCTCCTCTCACATGCACCCCGTCTTCTCGCCCGCTAACAGGAGTGCTCCCCCAGTTACAAGAGGCGCAGGACTGTGGAGGATTTCAACAAATTCTGCACCTTTGTCTTGGCCTATGCTGGCTACATTCCTTACCCAAAGGAGGTAAATCTTTCATGCTTCTGCTGGCAGTGAAACCAGTGGCCAGTGAAACCAGTGGCGGGGTGGGGGGGTCTGGGTGGGGTCGTGTGGGGGGACGCCAGACAGCTGTCAGGTAGAAGCCTTTCTTGAAAATAGCCCAGCCTGGCAGGTGGTTCCTAAAAGTCTGACGGAACACGCGGGCTTGTGTAGAAAGGATTTACTAGACTTATGAGTGTTGGTTTGCAGGTGACACGTATGGTGGCCATCTGCCCTGACTGTCCAGGGCTTACTGAGGGCCTGCAGTGGCCGGGCGGTGTATTACAACATCTGGGACGGGTGTCGATCCCCATTTTACAGATGAGGACGCTGGGGCACAGGCCTGGGGTGCCGCTGGGTGGTTAGGGTCCTCACTGTCCTTCCTGGTGAGCCACTGGCCGGTTGCTATGTGCATCGTATTATAGAATCTTGGGGACTTGTGGCCCAAATCCCATGTTTTAAGGGATTTTTTTTCCCCGTGCTAGATAATGGGTACAACTGAGAACCGCTGTTGTCACGGTGCTCAAGCTTGTCTTGTTCAGGGCTAAAAAGAAAGGAATCTGGTATTTCGAAGAGACCAGACCCCGGCACTGGCTTATCTTTTCTGTTTGCTGTGTACGTGGGTAAATGCTTCCTTTGTGCCACGCAGATTGTTGCCACTCTTTGCAAATAAAATGCTTGAATGCTGTGAAGGAACTGTAGGGATTAGCTCACTGCTTTGGGGCAGTAATTATATAGTTTGATTTTGTAGTATTTGGGATATCTGCAGTTTTTAGAAAGATTGTCAGGAATTCTCAAAACTAATTTAAATTCATTTAATTAAAAAAAAATACACCCCTTGGGAGGGCAAATGGAAGGGAGATTTTATAGTCGGGGAAGATAAGGGGGTCGGAGAGGGTATTCTTCGCAGCTTTCTAGAGGGTTAGAGGGCGTCGAATGAGTTCCTGGCGCTGGGACAGGGGCCGAGGGCTCAGCAAAGGAGGGTTTTCCTCCTGGTGGGTTAGCATTCTATCTGGAAGGTCGTGGTAAAGTACGCAGAACACCATTCCAAAAGAGCACCCCTTAGAGAGCGGTTCTGATCGCCCTTGTTGGTGGGCTGGGGGCGTGCCCGGGGAAGCTCTGCTGCTTGCCAGGGACTGGGCACGCCCCTCGACCCGGCTACCTGTGCTTCTGTCCTTTCAGGAACTCCCTCTGAGGAGCAGCCCCAGCCCTGCCAACAGCACCGCTGGCACCATTGACAGCGACGGCTGGGACGCTGGCTTCACTGACATTGCGTCCGCGGTGCCCCTGCCGGTCTCCGACCGCTGCTTTGGCCACCTGCAGCCCAGCCTCCTGCAGCGGGCCAAGCCCAGTAACTTCCTGCTGGACAGAAAGAAGACAGACAAGCTGAAGAAGAAGAAGAAGAGGAAGCGAAGGGACAGCGATGTGCCCGTGAAGGAGGGGTACATGGGGAGCCTCTTGAAGCTGGAAGCCGCTGACCCCTACGTGGAGACCCCCACGAGTCCTGCCCTGCAGGATATCCCCCAGGCCCCCGGCGAGCCCTGCTCGGGCTGGGACTCCGACACCCCTTCCAGCGGGTCTTGTATCACTGTGTCGCCTGATCAGGTCAAAGAAATAAAAACTGAAGGCAAACGGACTATTGTCCGACAGGGAAAGCAGGTGGTATTCCGGGACGAGGACAGCACTGGCAATGACGAGGACATCATGGTGGACTCAGGTGAGCACTGACGGGCTGCCGTGCGGGGGGCTGGGGGCCTGAAGGGTGGTCCCTTCCCTGGAGGGTGACAGCACAGTGTGCCCCCCACTCCTAGGAAGGCAGGTATCCGAAGGTGGACACCGAGGTGTTTAGGAAGGGGGTGATTGCGGCCAGAAACAGCTGAGGTTCCGGGACAGGCTTTAAAATATGAAAGTACAGGGACGCCCGGGTGGCTCAGTCGGTTAAGCGGCTGCCTACGGCTCAGGTTATGATCCCAGCATCCTGGGATTGAGTCCCACATCGGGCTCTCTGCTCGGTGGGGAGCCTGCTTCTCCCTCTGCCTGCCACTCTGCCTGCTTGTGCTCGTTCGCTCTCTCTGACAAATAAAATCTTAAGCAAAAAAAATGAAAATACATACAGCTTCCCAGTAAATGTCTCACAGCTAGTTCCTGGGGGCGCCGCACACGGTCCAGTGTCCCTCGTCATGCGCGGACTCCGCGGCCTGCCCTCGAGTGTGCGTGTGTTGAGGATCAGGCTTCACTGCGGCTCCGCTGCTCTGCCCCGTCCCAGCCTGGGCTGGGGGGAGGGACCCTGCTGGGGAGGGGGCGCAGGAAGCGTTTTCTGTCCTCTTCACCCGCGTGTCTGTCCCTTCAGATGACGACTCCTGGGACCTCGTCACCTGCTTCTGCATGAAGCCGTTTGCCGGCCGCCCTATGATAGAGTGCAACGAGTGCCACACCTGGATCCACCTGTCCTGCGCGAAGATTCGGAAATCCAATGTTCCGGAAGTGTTCGTCTGCCAAAAGTGCCGGGACTCCAAGTTTGACATCCGCCGCTCCAACCGCTCCCGGATGGGCTCGCGGAAACTGTTTCTGGACTGACTGTTGGTGAGCGAGCAGAGCATGGGCGAGGAATCAGAAAGGACGAGGGGCCTTTTGGCCCCTCTCTTAGTTGAGCACAGAACTCTCAGCTCTGGTGCGGGCAGACCCCTGCCGTTCAGGTGCCTAAGCCAAAGGACAGGCTGTCCAAGGTATGACCTGTACATAGCCAGTGACTGAATAAAATCCTTGTTGGCCAAAGCTGCTGCTAGAGCTGTGTTCTCTGCAGTGGAGGCGGACTCACCACCCGAGTCCAGTGGGTTCGGCTCGCCTGCGAGCGAGGGCCGTGGTAGTTGTGGATTCTTGCTATCATTGTTAACAAGCTCCCGCCGGTTGGAACCAGTGCTGTTTTCCTGCTTCCGCTGTCTTGGGAGAGGAGATGTTCAGTTTCCCAGGCCTGTTAACGAACAGCCATACGTGTAAGCTTTTTCTCAAGTGTAAGTCTTTGACCGTAAGTGTCTGTACAGCAACCATCGAGCTGCCCCTACCTTTGTGGCCTGCCCTCTCCCTGCCTTGGCTGCTACCTGTCCGTCCCCGCAGGCTCCCAGCTGGAGTCGTCTGGTCTCACTGTGAGAGGAGCCCTGGGGCGGTGGCTAGCTAGTGATCCCTAGGTTTCCTTCTGTTTGTTCAAAGGGACAGTATGTGCCCGTTTCTTGGCGGAAAAGGGGTTGGTTGGGGGGTTGAGGTGGCCCGTGTTCATAACTCAGTTTCCTGTTTTGCACGATGTAAAAAACCTGTCTTTTTGCACGATATAGCCAAAAGTATTGGCAGATTTCTGCCGGGGTGCCCTTCCCAGTTGGTGTGTGAGGTCCTAGGGGTGCCCAGGCGAGCTGTTTTCAAGCGAGAGGGCACCTGGAGTCTGTCCTCTCTTTCCCTCACTTTGTTCCAGTAGCAACGTAAAGGTTAGGCCGTCACGGCAACAGCGTTCCTCTGCTTCATGAGGTAGACTCGAGGGGAAGGCCTCGCCTGTGGTTGATTCTTAGGGTGCCCTCACACAGGCTGGCCTGTGGTTTCACAGGGCACGGTTAGGATTTGAAAGCTTTTTTGTTTCGTTTTGTTTTTTTTTGGTTTGAAATTGGTGAGTGAGTGATACGGTAACATCGGCCTCCAGGAGTGTACCACTGAGCCGTGCAGACTTGTTTAGATCTGAACTGGGGCCCTGGACTGCGGAGGCTCCTGGGCAGGCCAGCCTGGAGAAGCCAGGAAGTTTGCCTCCGGCGCCCACAGGGCTCTGTCCGAGGGCCGTGGACTCTGCGGCGCTGGAGACTCTGGGGCCTGCAGGGACAAGAAGGCTCCCACTTTCTCCGAAGTTGACAGTGCTCTTTAGCAGTTCAAATACTCTTCTCAAAATTGTTTTTGTTTTTATTTTTTATTTTTTGGTAAGTGGACGGGTGTGTTTTCATACACATGGTTTCTTCTGAAGCATGAAAAGGGAAGAATGCCCAAGTTGGTCATATTTAATTTATAGCAGGGCGGACCCCCAGCCTCCCTGCTGGGGTCTTCATGTGGCTCCCTGGTGCCGGGGGACTCTGTTCACATTCTCTCCCCGAGGCACAAAGGGGCTTGAACTCGAATTGGCTGACCAGAGCCCGTGTTGCGCTAGTATCATTCATGCTTCGCCAGCCAGCTGCTTTTTGTTTTTTGTTTTGTTTTTAATTCTGTTGCTTATATTAACACAGAAATAGAAGTAGTTTCTGAAACCCAGTTGATCGTGAAGATCCCCAAGGGAGAAGTTCTGCTGTAGAGAAGAGTAGTAAGAAGCAGGCTTAGAAACCACTTTCTCCCCAGACAGCTGTCTGGCTCTGATGAGGGCAAACGTCCAGGAAAAGTTGGAGAGGAATTTGCCAAAGATCTGCCCCTTGACGTTGCCTGTCCAGTGTCTTCACCACGATAATAGCCAAAGTTCCAAAGTGTTTTTCTTTTTTAAAAAAACTCCACGAAGTTTTAAAAGTGCATTTAAAAATACGTGTGGTTTTAGAGTGGAACTGCCAGGCGTGGCGATTCCTGTATTGCTCTTAGAAGGTTCCATGCCTGGTGACTCCTCTGGAAGGTGCTTGATAGTCATTTCGATCTGTTTCCTCCATTTCCCTTTTGTTCTTTTAACAGATGTATCTATCCCTGTGGGTGGTGTCTAGGAAGTCAGGACACCTTGGTTTTTGTGTTAGCTTGAGCTGGGCAGCTGCAATCAGCTTTATGCAAATTAGGCGTGGCCCATCTAGGGGCTCCTGGTTGGTGGCTAATAAAGTGAGGGGAGGGAAAGCTGTCATCCCAAGAGTAAGCCCCTCTCATTGGCATTGGCCAGGCCAGACACTTAACATCGTTTACATGGTTCTGTGTAATTATAAAGTTTATGTGTATAAAGCGAAGCTGTTTCTGTGAAACTGTATATTTTGTAAATAAATATATTGCTACTTTGAGGTTCATTCCTAGCTTCAGGTGTTTGTTTTCTCTGGGGGAGGACAGTGGTGTCTCTGCTCCCGTCATCAGCTTCCGTCATCAGCTCTCCCAAACCATGATGACATGGAGACTTGGGGCGGTCGAGTCCCAGTCTGGTGTAGCAGGACGAGGAGTGCCCTAGTGAACTCCGCAGGACCAAACCACGGTGCGAACAGACCGGAATGGCCTTCACAGTTGCACCACGCTGTGGGTTAGCTTGAGCCCCCGTGAGTGGTTACCTCTGAGGTTCTGCAAGCCGATTTGCAGCCTCCCAGGGGTGCTCATTTTGCCCCTTTACACTTGGGGGTCCCCATCCCTGTGCTTTTTCTGTCTCTCAGCCGGGTCTGCCCGCCTATAATCTGGATCCATTAAGAGTCAACTAGTACTTCCTTTCAAGCAGCCAAGATCCCCGCATCAACACCTCTTAGAGTCTTGGAAATACTGGCCAGGATGGGCTGCGAGCCCTTCTCCTGTTTTGGGGCGTCCAAGGCTGTTGGGGGGTGTGTCTTCTCTAAGCCAGGAGGCGAGGGCCCTGGGCTTTCGCGAAGAGATGGAGCTCGCACTGGCGGCGGTGTTTGGGGTGTCGGGCCGGGGATGGCTCTGGAAGCACCCCGGAGCCTACCAGACTCGGGCCATGCAGGTCACAGGGAACGCGCGAGGAGGTGACCCGGGAGGAGAGCGGAGGCTGGCCCGCCTCTACCTGCCGGCGGCCCCGCCCCGCCCACAGGCCCGGCCTGGTAGCGTAGGCCCCGCCCCGCCCGCTAGACCCGCCCTGCGGGTCTTCCCGCTCGGGTCCGCAGACCTGGTCTGGTCCCGCAGGCCCCTCCCCGCCTGCAGACCCCGCCCCGCCCGCTGACCCCGCCCTGCCAGTCCAGCTCGGGGCCGCAGGCCCGGCCTGGTCCCGCAGGCCCCGCCCCGCCCCGCCCGCTGGCCCCGCCCCGCCCGTCGACCGGCTCTGGGCCCCGCCCGCCCCGCAGGCTCGCCGCCGCCATCTTTGTTAGGGGCAGCGGGGCCTGGCGTCTGGAGATGCCGAAGTCGTGCGCGGCCAGGCAGTGCTGCAACCGCTACAGCAGCCGCAGGAAGCAGCTCACCTTCCACCGGTGAGGGGCGGGGGCGCCGTGGGGCGCGTGGGCCCGGCTCCCGACCCGCCCGGCCCGGCCGAGCGGCCGTGGACCCCGCCGGAGCCTGAGGCCTGGCGCGCCGGGTGGGGACGTCAGGGCCGCTGCCCGGCCGCCGGGGAGGTCGGAGGGCGTGCAGCCGGGCCCTTCGCGGAGGGGCCCGCGGCCCGGGGACAGGCGAGGTGACCGGCGGCCGGGCGCCGCCTTGGCCGGCCTGGGCGCGTGGGGAGACGGTCGGAGAGGCCGAGCAACCTGCGGAAGGCACACAGCCTCGCCGGCGGGCGGCCCGAGCGGTCACGTGCGGAGGAGGCCGGGGTGAGCCGCCCCTTCCCCAGGCCGCGCCCCGCAGCCCCCAGCCTCCTCGGCAGTTCTGGGACGTGGGCCTGTTCACAGACGCGGCCTGGCACGTGGCAGGTGCCCGGCACGTCCTGGCCGAGTGCATTTCCGAATGAATGAGCGGTGGTGGCGGCCGGCCGTGTGGCTGCCATGCGCTGGTCACCCTGCTTAGCCCTGGCCAGGCGTCCTGTCCGGAAGCAGGGGGGCATGGAGGAGGGAGAACGTTCCGGGCTGTCCGGGGAGTGGGGCCGGCCGCGCCACCTTGGCGGGAGGTTTGGGAGTGTGTCGTCACCTTCCCAGCGCTCCCAGTGTGTCGGCCCTGGTGGGTACCGGGTCCCTGCCCCGGGGAGCCCAGGGTCCAGCCACTGCCCCTTAAGGCACGACCCCCAAGGCCAGCTGCACTCTCTGTGTCCACTGCCCCTCCCATCACCATTTTCCTTCTCAAAGAGTGTTTTCATTGAAGTATAAGACCTGCAGAAAAGCACGCAAGTTCAAAGCCCACAGCCCAGTCCATTCTGCGAAGTGAACACTGGTGACTGCTGTGAATCAGAACAGCACCGGGACCCCGCTGCACCCCCTTCCAGCCCCTTGTCCCCTCTCGTCCCCAAGGGGGACGGGATGCTCCCTTCTGGCAGTCAGAGTGGGGCACTTTGGCCTGTGTTGAACCTGGCATGAGCTTCTTCATGTCTTGTGCCCCCAGCTGTGAGTCACCTGCGTGTCCTTCCTCTGCACCTGCCCTGTCAGTGACTATACCAGAACTGACTTGTTCTACGATTAAGGGGCGTTTGGGCGGCCCTGTGTCTTGGCCATCACAAGCACAGGACTGTGGACCGTGTTGCTGGGGCCAGTCTTCCCGTGCTTGTGTCTCTGTTGGTTTCCGTGGGGCACATCCCAGGAGTGGAGTTGCCTCCCGTTGCCTCTGGAACTCACACCAGCCGGACCCTGGCCCCCGCTACTCCCACAGAGGAGCTCCGCCAAGTCCCCGGTGGCCCGCTCAGCGCTGCTCCCTCCTCATCCGAAGGGACTTCTCTGCAGCGTTTGGCACGGCCAACCACTGACCTCTTGCGACACTCTTTCACTTGGCTTCTAGGGCCCCCTTGACCTCTTCCTCTGTCACAGTGCCCCTCCACGGTCTCCTCTGCCGGATCCTCCTCATTTCCAGCACTAGCCTTGGAACCCTTTGGGGGAGGGCCGTGGCCTTGTACCCTCCCCACCCACACTCACTCTCCATCTCACCTAGGCTTTACCCCCCTTTACACCGGGACGGTCCCCACTCTGACATCTTCTGACTCGTGTCCCCTGCCGCTCCACTTCGGCACTTGGACATGTAAAAGGCATCTCAGGTTTAACAAATAGAACCAAAATTCTGATCCCGCAGAACCGCGTCCCATCTTAACATATGGGACTCCTTCACTCTATTTTGCCGCTCACAGGCAAACCTTATTGCACAGTTTGCAAAATACTTCCAGGTAGGCCTGCTCATGACCCCTCCCCCGACACTCAGGTCCCAGAGCCACTGGGTGCCCTCCTTCCTCTCTCACCTTCTGCCCAGAGCTTCCGGGGACCGCCCACCTGCCCCAGGGCCACCTCCTGAGGTCCTCACCCCTCCTCTTGCTCCCGCCCTCTCAGCCAAACTCCTCTCAGCCAAACCGCCTCTGACAGTGCTCCGACCTGCTGGGCCCTCCTGTCACAGCGCCTTTGCTCTCGCTCTTCCTTCTGAAGCCCACACAGCTCGCTCCCCTGCGTCCTGTGGCCTCTGCTCAAATGTCACTTCTCAGGAGGCCTTACTGACCACTAACTCTTTATTCCTACGCAGCCCATGTCTGTTTGGTTTACTGTTTTCCTGTTCTAGAATGTAGGCTCTGTGAGGGTGGGACTCACTCAACTTACTCCTACTTCCCAGGGCCAGGGGCAGGGCCTGCATGCAGCTGACTCCCCAGGGCACCAGCAGGCTCACCCTGCAAGTATACCTTCAGAAGTAGGTATGCTGTAAACAGGCATGACAGAAGCTTCCAGAAATTGGATGTGCTTTAGCAGAGTGCAGTCACTGA